GCAGGGGGGGAGGCTATGGGAGGGTGCCATTTGGGATGTGGGTATAAAGATGAATAAGATTGTTTGGGATGTTCTGTATGAAATACAAAAAAATCAGTAAGTAAAAAAAATGAGTTATATTTGAGGAAGAAGCATAAAAATTTGCTTCACGTTAATTATTAGTAAAGGCGAAAAACATTACCACTGACGTCTACCTGATGACTTTATATCCGTGCTCAGGTGCCAAGGATCTCAAAAAGTAACCAACTATGACTAGTAATAATCAGATATATAGAGATTAGAGATGCATGTGCAAGCATCTATGTGTTAGTTGCATTAAAAATGAGTTTTTCTGGGCCTGGATAGATGTCTCAGCTGTTAAGAGCACTAAATGCTCTTGCAGTGAACCTAGGTTCAATTCCCAGCACCCACCTGGTGGCTACAAGCAGTCCTTAACTCCAGTTCCAGGGGAACGAAATGGAGACCTTTTTGAAAGGTTAAAACCTCATTCAATTTTATGTCTTATAGGGTTTATACTGAGTTCAATATTGTATAACTGTGAACCTAAAAATTTACAGCCAATTTTGAAAGAGATGCATCTTTGCTCTGGAAATTGTTATTGAATATGTTAATGCTGTAACGAAATGTTTCTTCTAATCATGTGGTTATTAAATAAGTAATTTAAAAAATAATGTTTTTTAAATAAAAAGATTTATTATATGAAATACAAAAAAAAATTAAAAAAAAAGAAAGAAAACACACTAAAGTAATTTAGAAATTACATGGTATGTGGCCAGGTAGAAATTATATTAAGAGATGATTAGGAACACAAGAAAAATTAAAGCATATAGAAAAATGAAGACTGAGACAATTAATTTGAACCACCTTCATAAATGGCAGGGAACAAAAATGAACATTCTTGGCACCAAAATAATTTAGAGAACTATCAGTTATCAAGCAGTGAATGACAGTGGGAATGGATTCCTACCTGTTTCAGAGCAGGGGAACATGGGATCAGCTCTCCTATTCTGTTTATTCCAGCATTAATTTTCTTCTTTCTGTGTCTCTCCACTAGATAGAGGGAAAAATCCATTTAGCAATCCTTATACTACTTTGAGAAAGTGCCTAATTTCCTGGGCAAAGAAAATTTAGGTACAAAATCCCCAGGAAATGTTTACTCAGATGATGTACTAAAGAGGCTGGGTCTAGAACTCAGTGGCAGAGCACTTGCATAGCTTGCACATGGGGAAGAAAACAAAAACAAAAATGAACCCTAAGCCCAAAGCCATTATCTACTGAAGACAAGTATCTAAGATAAGGACATCAGATTTCTAAGAATTCAGTATCTAAGTCAAATGTTATAAAAGTCAACCTAAGCATCACTTTGTTTCATTTTTTTTATTTGGGTTTTCTTTGGGGGGGGGGTTGGTTTGTTGAGACAGGATCTTTCTGTAGTCCCAGCTGGCCTAGAACTTGCTATGTAGACCAGGCTGGCCTGGATCTCACAGAGATCCACCTGCCTCTGCACCCCAAGTGCTGGGATTAAAGGTGTACACCAACACGCTCAGCAGAAGTATTGCTTTTATAAACATTGTAAAGAAAATCATAAATAACTACAATAAAATGATAAAAAGGAACTGTTAATAATGCATTATTATTAGACCATCATTCCATTACAATGAAAATAACTAGCAGAGATTTTAATGATAAGCAAATTTACTTTTTTAAAAAATATGTATTTGTTCATTTTTGTGTCTGTGCATATATGAATGCCATGGTACATACATGAAGGTCAGAGAACAACTTGTAGGAGCCAGTTCTCTCCTTCCACCATGTGAGCTCCAGTGACTGAAAGGTTGTTAGGCTTGGTGGCAAGCCACTTTACCTGCTGAGCTGTCAGCCCAATAACCAAATTTAAAGAATACACAAATAAGTTATCAAAAATCTGCCTCTTATTGGTAAATGAGACCTTTCTGTACAATTTAAGAATGTTTCTTTTGAGATAGGGCCTCACTAAGTAGACTAGGCTGTCCTTGAACTCCCAGAGATCCACCTGCCTCTGCCTACCAGGTACTGGAATCAAAGGCATGTACTACCAGGCCCAGACCTAATTTAAAAATCTTAAAACACCTATTGTAGGACGTACTAGAGGAACTCTGAATAGAAGCAACTATTAGCTATGTCTTAAAATAGTCAAGAAAAGGCATCAACTTGGTTTCCTCTATAGTTTCCGGGATAGTAAGGGTTTTGTGGGTTTTTTTGTTTGTTGGGTTTCGTTTTTTTGAGACAGGGTGGGTGTCCCTGTAGTCCCAGCTGGCCTAGAACTCAATATGTAGAACAGGCTGGCTTCAATCTCAGAGATCTGCCTGCCTTTGCCTCCCAAGTGCTTGGATTAAAGGTGTGCACCCACACCTGTTAAAATCTGTACAACGTAAGACAATCCACACACATCCCTTTAGTGCCTGCAGTGTGCTGCTCATCTCTTCCTGACTCTCCCAGGTGGCTCACCCCTGGAAAATATGTAGACACATGGCCTTCATTCTCCTGAGAAGTCTATCTGGATTTCCTCAGCAGGTAAAACCCTTCCAAGACTAGCTCCAGTAATAAACCAATCTCTAATATATCTGAAAAGACCACAAATCACATATTATTAAGGCATCTCCACAAGACTGAGAATACTCTGTTAATAAAAACAATAAAGTTGTCCTTTCCTAAAATATAGCAAACGATTCTATGCTTATAACATACAAACTTATAATCAACCATGGCATAATTTCATTTTGAAAACAAAAACTGCTAGTGAGCAGAATTTAAATTGCTCTATTTACCTGCATTGTGTGTCTCCCGGTTTTTCTTTCTGAAATAGAAAGTATATATAAAAGATAACATGAAGATAACAAGAAATTATTATTATTGTTATTATTATCATTATTATTTTGGTCTTTTTGAGACAGTCTCCCTGTAGCCCCAGCTGGCCCGGAACTCACTATGTAGACCAGGCTGGCCTTGAACTCACAGAGATCTGCCTGCCTCTGCCTCCCGAGAGCTGGGGCTAAAAATGTGCACCACCACACCTGGCTCACCTTCATATAAATTTAAAAGACAGGGGGCTGGAGAGATGGCTCAGTGGTTAGGAGCACTGACTGCTTGTGCAGAGGACCCAGGTTCAATTCCCAGCACCATGTGGCAGCTACAAACCGTTCTTAATTCCAGTTCCAGGGGAATCCGATGCCCTCTTCTGACCTCTGTGGCATTGCACGACACAGGTGCACTCACATACATGCAGGCAATACACTCATACACATAAAAATAATATATATATATTTTTTTTAATTAAAAGAATTCCTAGAAGTAACAGTTCTCTATCAATACCCAGAAATCATGTGCCAAGGAAAGACTCAATCACTGAAAACCTTCACTATTTGAAAAATGTAATTTAACTGTTGATAAATTTTCAAAGCACTGTGCTGAGTCAGTGACTTATGTCTGCCCTGGCACACAGAAGGAGTGAGTAGAGAGACCAAGCAGCAACACTAAGCGATACCCAGGGAGGGAGCTACTGTGGCAACAGTACACTTACAGCTGCATCTGAGTCGGCATTTTCATTTATACTCATGTCATCACACTCTCATTAAGCCCCTCTACTAAAACACTGATTTTTTTTCCTTTTTGCATAACAATCCAATATATTAGCATTCTCTAATGGTAAGAAAAAGAATAGCAATTTAACATTAGTAAAAACACTGGTCACACAATTCTGAGCGGACATTGCCCAAAATGCTAGAAATTCAGAAGAGGGATATAAAGAAAAGGAAAGCAATACTGTGCATATTGGTATTAATAGATTATAATGGTGCCAAATGTTACAAACTGAATACCACCTAAACGTTTCAGGATCTACAAAACTAATACAATATGCCAGTGAAAATGTCCTTAAGAAGCAAACATTTAACAAATTTTATATACTGTTTTAACTACTGATGACCACTCTTCCTTGTTACACTGCTGATTAAATAAGGACAGGCAAATTTCACCTATATAACCCTTTCTGGAAATCTATTTATATATATCCACTCATATTTTTGGAGACTAATCATTTTTTAGGTATCCAAATGTAAGATCCTAAGGACCGCTTAGCAAAACAGGAACTAATTCTGCTTCCTTCCTGCCTACAGGACATTATCTGGGGGCTGTGGATACTCACCTGTGTTGCTTTTTTGAAGGAGTCTCATGCTCTGTCATTTCTGGCATGGTGACAGTGACAGGAACCTACAAAGGGATGGCAAGACAGATATAGCAAGGAGTTTAGTCATTCAAGAGTCTGGAGAAGCTGGGCATGGTGGCACACGCCTTTAATCCCGGCACTCAGGAGGCAGCGGCAGGTAGATTTCTGTAAGATTGAGGTCAGCTTGATCTAAATAAGTTACAGGCCAGCTGTGGCTACAGGAAGACCTTATCTCAAAACACCAAAAAAAAAAAAAGTTTAGAGAAACTGACAAACAGCAATTTGATCTGAATACCAAAATTCTGAAAAAAAAAAATTAACATTGAAAAAGCTCTTAATGAGGTATTGTAGACTATAAGAGGCACAAGAAAAGAGATAGTCAGAAATTCCAGCAATGGGAAGGCTGAGGCACGCAGAGCCCAAGTTCAGGTCCATTCTAGGCTACATGGCCAGTACCAGGCCAGTCTGGGCTTTATAGTGAGACCACATTTAAAAAAAAAAAAACAAAAAACAAAAAAGCACTTGGCTAGCATGTACTGTAAGAACACGTTGCTTAATATCTAATATCCTCTAGAAACAATAACAACAAAGGTACAAACGCTATTAAAAGTAGATGTAGGGCTGGAGAGATGGCTCAGCGGTTAAGAACACTGTTCTTGCAGAAGACCGGGGTTCGAATCCCAGCACCCACATGGCAGCTAACAACTGTCTGTCTAACTCCAGTTCCAGGGGATCCGACGGCCTCTTCTGTCCTAGGCGAGCATTGCAGGACACTGGTGCACTTACCTACATGCAGGCATAACACTCATACACATAAAATAAAAATAATAAATAAAATATTTTTTTAAAAAGTAGATGTAAAACATGGTGAACATCAAATGTGAGGGGTAGGGAGAAAGTGCTTAAGACTGGAACAGAAAAAAGATGACTGTGCCTGGATGTCAGGAAAAGCTTAAAGGGGATGTGAATTGGGGCAAGACCTGGCAAGGCTAGTAGAACATATTTGAGTTGGCAGAGTATACTCTTTGTTCATGATACTGAAGTATTAATAAAATTTAAACTTCAACAATGATTCTCCCCTATGAACACAGAATGAAGCAAGAGATAAATGCACAAATGTGACATTTCACATGGAGGCAAGCATTTATCATCTATTTATTTGCTGGGCTTTGATTTCAAACTGCTAGAAGTCTTACGTTATCATTTGAGAGTCATTAAAATGTGGGCATAAAAACTCTATTAATATTTAAAATATGAAGACAACATATTTTCTTCTTCCTTTATCTCTTTCCTCTTTATCTCTTTCCTCCCTCCTCCTTTCTCTTTCAAGACAGGGTCTCAGTATGCAGTCCAGGGATCACCATGTTTTACACCTGCTACTTATAATATTGTTTGTACCTTTATTGTTGTGTCTCAAGGATACCTGGTAATATCTTTTAACAGTACATGCTAGCCAAGTGCTTTTATGGTTTTCTGAAACAGGGTCTCACTGTGAGCCTCAGTTGTTTCATCTCCATCACTGGGTTGTTTTGAGAAGGGAATGAAATAATATAAGGAGAACACAACACCATGATGCCTAGAAACAAGCCTCCTGCCTCAGTCTCCTGAGTGCTGGGACTGCAGGCAACACTACCCCTGGCTAGAACAAATGATCTACAGGGAAGTGAACACACACATAAAAAAAGCCTGGAGGCAAAAACACTAGGACATTAAGTGTAATTATGCAAGGTCAGCAACACTGTTGGTGATTTCTCTCTCCTCTCTGATTTTCAAACGTTGTATAATTAGAATTTTGTATTTTTAAATCTCAGGAACTGACAACCAACCTTCCAAAAGAGGTCTGTCAAGCTGGGATACCTGTTCTGTTACAATGGAGAAAGTACAAGCATGGCTCCCCTTTTTCCTCTGGGAAGGAAGGGAAGGTAACAAGTATAGAGTGAGTTTAAAGCCTGGTGTTATTTCCTAGCTGTTAGGTCTTGGGCATACTGTCTAACCTCTTTAGCACCTCAATTGTTTCAACTGCAAACTAGGTTGTTTTGAGAAGAGAATGAAATAGGCAAGGAGGGCACACCATGGTGCCAAGAAACAATGAGGATTCAGGAGATACTAGCTCTGAGTATTAACAAGGTATTTCAGAATAAGCTCCATCCCTAAAATGGAGGGGTGGTAGCAGGAGGGAGAATAGGAAAGGTGCTGACAGAAAGTACTGGCTGGCACAGCCTACAGAGGAACATGCAGTCAAAATTCATCTCTTGATGCTCAGTGGGTAAAGGTGCTTGCTGCCAAGTTTGATGACTTGAGTTCAATCCCAGAAACCTAATGATGGAACCAGAGAACTGACTCCTGCAAGTTATCCTCTGACCACCATGCATGTTGTGGCATGTGTACACACACACACACACACACACACACACACACACAGAATAATAAAAATTTTTTAAAAATCTCATCTTCTGCATTTGTTCCTTTTCTACCTTCTCTCTATAATTGGTGAAGATACCTATGGGCCTGTGCCCAACCAATCACATTAGATAACCACATAATGGTAATGTGGATCAAGTAAGTAAAAAAATACATAATCAGTCTCTTTTCTCACCCAAAGGTTTGCAGAATTTCCTTCACTTTTGATTGCTGGCTTCTAACACCTCCTGTTTCTGATCCAAATCTATCATCTTCTGCCAGAAGAAGGTCTCTCTATAGGTTATATTTTCTTCTTACTACAAAAAAGAAAAATCAGTGAGTGTTTATGGCCAACAACAATCCACCTGCCATCACCTCCCAAGTGCTGGGATTAAAGGTATGCACCACCACACCAGGACCCACTCTAGAAGTTTTAATATGCTCTATTACCCTCCAACTGCCCATCATTCACTTTTGTAGAGACTTACTGTAATCGCCCAGAATTTTAATGCTAGAATGTGAGTTCCTCTCCTAGGTCTATATCCCATGCTTTAACATCTCTCAATTTTCTTTGTCCTTATGTGCTATATTTTGGAAAAATTCCTTGTGCTGGTCTTCTAATTCTTTTAGTCATCAGAAAACCTAAGTCTACCAGGTATGGTGGCGCACACCTTTAATCCCAGCACTGGGAGGCAGCGGATCTCTGAGAGTTCAAGGCCAGCATGGTTTACATAGTGAGTTCCAGGCCAACTGGAACTACAGGGAGAACCTGTCTCAAAAATGACCAAAAAAGAAGAAAAAGAAAACCATAAGATTATTCAGGCTGCTACTGAGATTTTTATTTCAGAAACTGTTTTGAGTTTCTAAAACTTCCTTTTTCTCACCTCTTTTTCACAGAAATTCATTGCTAGTTTATAGAAATGACAGTTTCTCAAATCTCTGAGAATATTTTTGGACAAAAAATTTCCCCTTTATGCAATATTCATTTATTTTGTCTAAGATTAATTTCTGTGTTCAGCTTGGTATTCCTTATTTATACTGTTGATTTTTCTTACATATGTAACAATTCTTGGTTATATAAATTAATGACTAGAGTTGGTTTTCCCAGTACAGTTGTTCTCAATTAAAACTACATTGTAAAAATCATACTTTTGCTGGGTGTGGTGGTGGTCTCACAACTTGAAAGATTGAGCCATGAGGATAGACATTTCCAGGCCAGCCGGGAGTTCACAGTGCAACCTTATCTTTAAAAAAAAGAAAAGGCTTCTTAGCAACTTTTATGTGCATCTACAATAAGAACTGTTGTTTTAAAAAAATTTCTGTATACGTCTGTGTGGAACACAGGCATGTGTATGTCCACATAGGGCTTCAGATTAAGCTGGAATTACATGCAATTGTGGGACGCCTGATATGGGTGCTAGGAACTAAACCTGGGTCTTCTGGAAGGGTAGCAAGAGTTCTTAAACACCGAGCCATCTCTCCAGCCCCAAGAACCACTCTTTTAACATATATAAACATCATTCCTCCCTGCTGTGAATGTACGTGCTGATTACAGGTTTCTGGCTATCAAAAGCCATCTGTGAGTAGTCACCAGCCAGGTGTGCCTCTGAAGGAAAAAGCTCCACAGTCAGAGTGGTAACCAGAATTTTTCAAGGTATAGGTTGTTGATAGGTCTCTCTGGCCCTAAAGTCCATGCTGAAAATTCCCCCAACTTATACAGTTATGTTGTTGCAGCTTAGTCCGTGCGTAAATGTAATTAGCTATTTATTCTGTTTCATTTCTGTTGCTGTGGTAAAATACCCTGACAACAGCAACATATGGGAGGAAGGGGTTTATTTGGCTTACAATTCTAGGTTACTGTCCATCACTGAAGGGTAGTTAAGGCAGAAATTTGAAGCAAGGCACATCATATTTATAGTCAAGAGCAGAAAGAAACAAATGTACACATCTTTGCTTGCTGACTTGCAGTGTTCTCTCTTACACTGTTCTGGAGCCCTGCTTAGGGAATGGTGCCACCCACAAATGTCTGGTCGCCCTACATCAATTAACAATCAAGACAATCCCCCACAGACATGCCCATGGGCCAACCTGATCCAAACAATCCTCATTAAGACTCTCTTCCTGTACATGCCTTTAATCCCAGCACTTTGGAGGAAGAAACAGGTGGATTTCCATGAGATCAAAGCCAGCTTTGTCTACATAGTGAGTTCCAAAAAAAAACCTCTCTTCCCAGATGAAGGTGTGATGGCTCACACCTTTAGTCCCAGCACTCACCTTTAATGCCAGCTCTCAGGAGGCACAGACAGGTGGGCTTCTGTAAGTCTGAGGTCAGCCTGATCTATAGAGTTGAGATCCAGGCTAGCCAGGGCTACATAGTGAGACCCTGACTCAAAAGAAAACAAAACAAACACTCTTCCGAGGTGATTCCAGATTCCTGTCAGGCTGACAGTTAAACTAACATAGACCCCTGAAAAGGCCACTCTGCCTTCCAAGGCTCAGGGATCATTTCAGGAGAGGGGACAGAAAGATTGTACAACCACATGCTATAGATGACAAGGAAACAGAGCTTTCCAAAGAGTGGGGCAATTATTCATATGAACTCACAACAATTGTGACAGCATGCAGAAGACCTGTATAAGCTCAAGCCAGACAAAATACCAGCATAAAAGTGGGGAGGTGGGTAGATCCCCAACCCAAGCTGAGGAATTACTGACAACTGATAGCTTTGGGGAAGAAAGCCAGTCTTCTTTAAGGGTGTAATGCTGGGTAAGTTAACCAGACTCCAGTGGATTGATTCACACCAGACGACATTTGAGGATACAAATTTGACTCATAGGCCATATATA